GGACTTACACACAGACGCATGGACCTACACGCACGCACATATGGACTCAAACACACACATCGACTGACACACGCACATATGGACGTGCACAGCAAACCCCGATGATGGCACAGCTATCAGCATCGCAGTACTATGTATCAGTAAATTGCGGGACATGAGGAATCAAAACAATAGAAATGCATAGAATAAATAATCTGAAATAAGTGTACATTAAATAGCAGCAGTACGCACAGGTAAGTTGAGAAGCAGGCTACAGTCTAGATTATAGACTGCCAGTACGCCGACTCAATGACATGAGCTGGCATTACAGGCAGCAGCTTAAAAAGCAGGATACAGTCAACATTAAAAGCTGACAGTACAGTGAGCTCGACCGAACGCGCATGACTTGGCAGGCCCCCCCCCACCCAATTGGCGTGAGTTGGTACGGCTGGTGTCGCGCAATAAATAAATATATAAAAATCTCACACAATCGCTAAGTTGACCAATTGAAAGTTTACGGACGTGAAAAAGGAATAGCCCATTCCCACCGCGGGGCTTAGGACGTGCTGCATGGCAAATTTGTTTAGTCGTAAACCCCACCATCAGAAAGCCAAATCCCTCGTAAGCGCGCGCGGAGACTTTTATATATAAGGGTGGCCCAAAAGTCAGGACAAATCGGGTTATTATACAGCGTGGCCCAAAAGTCAGAACACAGGATTTTTATACAGGGTGGCCCAAATGTCAGGACACAGGATAATTATACAGGGTGGCCCAAAAGTCAATACACATGTAGTGGGTATTGTTAGCGTTGCACGCGGTTACCACTACTTACCTGGTGTAGCATCAGGTCAACAGAGGGCGACGGCAAGTACAGCCTGTATCAAGTAACGCCGTTAGGCCAGGGAACCCAGAGGGCGGTTGGGAACCGGAGGTATACACCCCAGGCACCCAGTGGGCGCTGGGCGATTATGCAATAGTTGAAGTCCCTCCAGAAGGTTTTAGAAAGTAGGTGTGGCCAGAGGCGGAGTGACCCTGGGAGCTGGAAATAAGGCGGACCCCTGAACGGGTTTGCCAGTCGTTGTCAAGCTGAAGACCCGAAGAGCCGAAGAACCAGCCTAGAATAGGACCCTGGGAACCCCCGGACCCGCTGTCCTTCTAAGGGCCGGGACTGAGTGGGCCAGTGGTCGGACCCAGGGAACACCCGGACCCGACATCCTTCTAAGGGCCCGGACCGAGCAGGCCAGTGGCCGAGGACCTTGGCTGGGTCGGGTCAGCTCGCCTCCCCTAGGTCCCCCTAGCCGGAGGGCTGAGATAGAGGGCACGATAGCCCGGAGGCTGTACCTCCTCAGGTATCGGGTGGAAGGGGCCGTTGCCCCTTTGTGTTAGGGAACCTGTATTGTTATAAATAAACGTGTTGCCTCCAGAGAAGACTGGGCCTCCATCATTACCACTACAACTGGCGTCAGAAGTTGCTGACGACCTAACTACAAATGGAGACAAGCAGTTGTGTACGTACCTGGGCTCCGGACGACGACGACGACGGTGCTACGCTCACTCCAGGGGCGACAACACCACCAAACAATGAAGAGTCCGCCCCAACGGCCGACATGCAGCCTGCACAGGCGCCCGTGAGTCCGCCGCCTTCGGGGAGAGCGCTCCGTGTGGTGCATTCCCACCTCGTCGACCTCATGCACGCCGCGGATTCTATCATCAAAAAAATCCAGAGAGGAGCCGACGGCAAAGGAGGGGGGAGCGGACCCGCAAGCAGTGGCCATTCCCGCCACCGGCTCAACTCCCGCCAAAGATTTTGAATCTCCTGCTCAGGACGACGTCACTTCCGCCCACGGATGCACTTCCGCCGGAAGACAAGTGCATCGCGGAAACGACGTCACTTTTGGCGTTGATGTTTTGGCTGCTTGTCGTGGGGGTCGTCCACATTTTTTTCTCTACAAGAGAACATTGGCAATTAGGATGGCTGATTTTTCTTCACGGGGGGGGGGGGGAGTGATGTAGAGGAATACCGCGTGTACCCAACGAGGGGCGAGTGCAGGAAGAGGTGCAGACTAAGAGAAGAGTCGCGGAAGGTCGAGGTATGATGGGAGAGGGGCCGTAAGATGTCCGCCAAGGGGGGGGCTGGCAGAAAAGAGGGGCCCCGGGCAGGGGGGATATAAAAGGGGGACCTCGGGAGAGAGAGGGGAGGAAGAGCTGGAAGACGTCACAGGCAGAGAGAGAAAAGGGGGGGGCTATGGGCTGAGGAGGTCGAACCTCGCTATCTGGCGGTGTGGGTTGACCTCCCGCCTGGAGAAGACTAGGGGAGACCTAGGGGTAGCCCTGACAGGGTAGTTGAGGAAGGGGTTAAAGGACGGGGTGTAACGTGTACCCGCCACAGATGGAAGTGTGGAGTGTAGAGATAGTGAATAGAGAGGAGAGCACAAGTGAATAAACGGCAAGCAGCCCTGAGTAAAGATCTGCTCTCCGTACGGTTCTGTAAAACTCATCCGCGTCAAGAACTACTACACATGCATTCGCAGATGCACGCTCGAAGTTATCATTACGATCAGCGTACATTGTTACAAAGTGTGATTTTATTCGTTTAAATTGGACCAAGGGCAAAAACAAATCGCGAGTTTTCAAGGGGGGGGGGGGGGGGGGCTTAGTTTGTTGTATCTGTGTACTTTGTTGAAATGCAAACCAAACAGTTTGTGTGTTAAAAGCGTTACAAGGATAGGCGTACGCAGAAAGGCAGTCAAAAAATCATGTTTATTAGGTAAAATAAGACAACATAATTAGTGTTGTGGAGAAAATATCTCCTTTAAGTAAAATTTCAGTGTTTTCCCTTGTATATACTATATTCGTGATTTCGAAGACAATGAGTTGGGGGGTATGGTTCCTAGTCTACAAAAATACCTTTGACCCTGTATCACATGAACAACAGCACTTCATGTAAATGTTCTGCACAGGTTACTGTAAAAACAAACGTTCATCTAGTTAGGACATTCCATTTTTGACCATTTTATTCCAAATGGTACTTACGGAAAAAATCTCCATCACGTACTTTACCATTAAAAATGCTTTTATACTTGAGAAATTTGCTGAACCATAAAGTATACCTCTTAGATAACCGGCACATTTGATGAACTGGCACCCTCGATTCCCCATAGATGCTGGATAAGAGCTTATGCTGTATATACTCAAAATCAGATCATGGGTGTTAAAATTATAACTCTAAATTATCAAGAGACACATCGCCAACATTAAACTATTGCATTGAAATATACTGCATCGCATTACATCGCATTTACTGTACACATTTACTCTACTCTGGATGCCTAAAACTGCATGCATTCTTCGAATGAGAGAAGCCAAGTGATAGCACGGTTGATATTTGTAACAAAAATGTTCACAATTCACATCTTTCCGGCAGCCCTTATGATTACTGCAGCAATATTGACCAAAAATATGCACCATCAGCTAACATTCATGGTGTCAGGGTAAAAATTTGCCATATTCGAAAGATTAACCACAAACGACCCGACTGGGGTTACACATCAATCATCACTCCACCCTACTGGCAGACTTATGTCCACGTGCAGGTCGGTACTGAGTCACCTTGTACCACAAAGGGACAGCTGCCACTTAGGCTAGCCGTCAAACGATTGAGATGAAAGAGAAACAAGCCGCTTGTAGTTGCTGAAGCATTTCACCTTTGATTTGCAAGATTGGCGACATACAGTGAGAAAGAAATAAAACATTTATGCAAGCGCCAATTATTAATCTAAATATTATTATAACACGTTGAATGCTTACTCTTTGGTTCTTTCGGTAAAGTTAATCAAATCACGACGTTTCGGAGGCAACATAAGCTTCCGTCATCAGGTGTAACTAGCACAGCAAAATTACTGTAAAGAGAGCTATTTCATAATAAGAGATTATTATATAGGATAAGAGGGGGGGAGGAGCCAGGGAGGACAGATGCAGGGTGGGGGGGTGTTGGGAGACGGGGATGGTAAAAGCTCCAGATGCTATTCCTGCACCAGGGATGGGAGGGGAGAATGGGATGGGAGACAACTTTGAATGCTATGGAGCTTTTTTGTCTCCCACGTCTGCTTACAGATCTATCCAAACTCCAAGTCCACACATGCTGGCCACTGCAACTCTGCATCCTCCAAAAAGTCCACCTCCACAAACTGCTGGGTTTCATTTCACTCTCTCTCAGTCCGCAGCCTCCTCCAGCTTCACGCTGCCTCTATTGACCACTAGGAGTTTAAACCCTTGTAATGGGAAAGGCAAAAATCTGGCTGTCGCCTGATGAAGCTAGTTGTAATGACTGGCGAAAAGTCATACTCAGATTGCAAATGTTGTTGCTTGGCTCTCCAACACACCAGTGTGCTGTGCTAGTGACGAATTGGCATGTTCTGTTTACGTGACAACCCTTACTAGTTGGCTGTGTCGGGTGGTGGCGGGTTATAACGACAAATGTATATATTTGCGTGATCTAACCCAAAAATCCTCTATTATGGGAAAGGCCTGTGAATGAAATGGAACTTCTTTATTCTAAGCTCAATGATGCACATCTACTTGGTCTCCATTTGACTCAGTATTGCCTAAAAAATCTACCCACACCTCCACATCCACAAATTCCTGGGAGTTGCCTCGCTCTGCCTCAGAGTCCACAGTCTCCTCCAGCTTCACGCTGCTTCCATCGATGTGAAGGTCGGATTTTGGAGTTGAATCTTCATCCTCACATTTCACTATCACTTCACTCTTTACCATCACTTCTTCGCTCTTCACCGATTCTAATTTCATTTTCACTTCTTGACATTTCACCTTCACTCCTGGCCACGTTTCATATCCCAAATGGTATTCTGGTTCTTGTTTCATGAGGGATGGACTCATTGCAGCACTTTGACTTTCACAAGCCGATTTCAGATTAATTTCCTGATTAATGGTTTGATGCTTGTTTCGATCCCCTAACTGTCTAAAACCCTTCCCATACACTGTGCACTTTAAGGGTTTGTCACCTGTGTGTATTCTCTGGTGTGTCTTAAGATGTGATGACTGTGCAAATGCCTTGTCACACAAAGTACACTTGAAGGGTTTCTCTCCCGTGTGTGTTCTCTGGTGGCCCTGAAGAGTTGATGACCAGGCAAATGCCTTGCCACACAAAGTACACTTGAAGGATTTTTCGCCTGTGTGTTTTCTCTGGTGTCTTTTAAGAAGTGATGAATGTGCAAATGCCTTCCCACACACAGTGCACTTGAAGGGTGTTTCTCCTGTGTGTATTCTCTGGTGTGTTTTAAGATGCGATGACATTGCAAATGCCTTCCCACACACAGTGCACTTGAAGGGTGTTTCTCCTGTGTGTATTCTCTGGTGTCTTTTAAGAAGTGATGAATATGCAAACGCCATCCCACACACAATGCACTTGAAGGGTGTTTCTCCTGTGTGTATTCTCTGGTGTGTTTTAAGATTTGATGACTGTGCAAAGGCCTTCCGACACACAGTGCACTTGAAAGGTGTTTCTCCTGAGTGTATTCTCTGGTGTCTTTTAAGATGTGATGAATGTCCAAACGCCTTCCCACACACAGTGCACTTGAAGGGTGTTTCTCCTGTGTGTATTCTCTGGTGTGTTTTAAGATGTGATGACTGTGCAAATGCCTTCCCACACACAATGCACTTGAAGGGCGTTTCTCCTGTGTGTATTCTCTGGTGTCTTTTAAGAAGTGATGACTGTGCAAACGCCATCCCACACACAGTGCACTTGAAGGGTGTTTCTCCTGTGTGTATTCTCTGGTGTGTTTTAAGATGTGATGACATTGAAAATGCCTTCCCACACACAGTGCACTTGAAGGGTTTCTCTCCCGTGTGTGTTCTCTGGTGGACCTGAAGAATTGAAGAATGTGCAAACGCCTTCCCACACACAGTGCACTTGAATGGTTTCTCTCCCGCTGATTGTCTTTGCTCCATCTGACCAATTCTGTACAGCAAAGTGGCAGAGGAACTGACAGCTGCAGACAGAAAACAGTAATATCCATGCAATGTATGTCAGCATAGAAGCATAGAAATTCATATATACACAGTCACACGTGATAATCACATATTACATAGACAAGAACACTCAATCATTAACGAGAAAAAAATCACCCCCAATTCATCACACAGGCTGTTTTAAGGCACTTGCTCCTATTAACGATCAGCTCTTGGCCTGGCATAGCAGGCAAGTGGTCAGTATAATGCCTGGAGGCCCTAATATATTTAATATCAATGACAACCCATAACTCTATGTACAGAATTTCGGTTGTATCTGGCTACTGAAGAAATGTTAACGATTGCAAATGTCTCATAAAAATAGCAAATGGTGTTAAAAATGAAACTTCGCATTGGGCAGAAATATTATAAAATGGACAAATTAATGTTCAATCGCAACTTGGAAGTTCGAAGCCAGGCTCAGATTTGCTTGAATGCTCGGATGGACAGATGTAATATCAGCTTCATGTGCTGTGTTTTCCATGCTTATGAAACGTTCCATGTGTCGGGAACTGTACAAGAGAAGGTTCTAGAAGGCAGGCGTTGTTATGATTGGAAACAGGTGACCAGAAGGCACTGGAAGCATAATTCAATTAAGGACATACATGTTATAGTAAAGTGGGGGACGGGGCCGAGCGAGTATATAAGGGGGAGCGAGGCCCGCGGTCAGTGCGCTTACTCGGGGACTAATTGACGACCAGAGGTGGACGACATTGGGGCCGACCGTGGAAACCATCGGGGTTGACTGTTCAGGTATCAACTTGGAGGAAACCATCGAGGCTGACGATAGCCATAGCAATTACGAGTGTGGCAGTCGTTACACTTGGACTGTATATACGTTCGGAGAAATAAAGCTCTACTCCCCTGAAAATGGATGTCTCCAAGGAGCTTCTTTACACGGGTAATAAAAAAAACATTGCATTGATTAAACCTAGGTGTTTAAAATGGTCAATATACTTTACAGTAAATAAAAACTTTACACTCTCATGCACTGGAACGGTGAAGAAGGTGGTGTTGTGGCTAGAACCATGCCTGGCTAGATGCTTAGACTCTTCACCAAGTACTTAACCTAGGAACAATCACAAAGCAGAGGCCTACAATAAGTTAAGCTATCACTTGTCAATCATGTCTGCTGTCTGACCTATTAATGTCATTTTTTGTCTGTGTGCCTGTGTGTGTGGCCGAAACTTGCGAAGGATTTGGCTTGCAAACCATGGGGTTTACTTTGAAAAAACGTACCCAGGTAGCACGCCATAAGCCTCGTGCTGAGCCAACGCTATTGAAATTTCGTGTCCGTCACCTTTGAAGTAGTTTAATTAGTGATTTAGTGATATTTTGGGTTATTTTTTTCTTACACGCGTTCGGTAGGGGGGAGGGCCCCTACCAAGTAACACGTGTTCAGTGGGGGTGAGGGGGCAAATTCTCTTTCGTGTGGACACTGCGCAAAGAAATACACACAGATTTACAGCTCCCTTCAAACATTTATTACCATCACTTTTTACTCATTACAAATTGCCTTTTATAGTTTAGATTTCATGACAGGGATTAACCAATGTTTCATGACCGTTACCATAAGTAACAAGATTTTTGTCCCCGACTACTAAGTGCTACTTTATGAGGGCATGACACTTATGCACACGTTTTCTCTTTGAAAACAGGTACATTTCTAAATATCACTGTCCAACTCACAAAAACGAGGTTTGGGGGGAAGAATAACCTTTTTCTATACTCTTGAAGCATAAGCAGCCGCGTAATATCACTGACTGCACAGGGGAAAACCAATAAATATACGCATTGCTATTACATCTTCATATCTCCTATAATAACCCAGGAATGTCCTTAACGCTCATGACGTCACTCCACATCGACCAGCCCCCCTCATTAATATTCATGAACAGGTCACGTCCTCAACATGGGCCCGCCCCCAACCCTCCTCATTAATAATCATGAGCAGGTGACGTCACTCAACATCGAAGAGCTCCCCTCTTTAATAATCATGAACAGGTCACGTCCTCCACATGGGCCCGCCCCTCATTAATAATCATGAGCGGGTGACGTCACTCTGCATGGAGAACTCGCCCCCTCATGAATAATCATGAGCAGGTGACGTCAATCAACATCGAACAGCCCCCGTCATTAATAATCATGAAGAGGTGAAGTCCTCCAAATGGACACCCCCTCCATTAATAATAATTAGCGAGTGACGTCACTCCACATTGGGGGCGAGGCGCTTCCTCCACCCTCCTCGGCGTCAACTTACAACCCTCACTACAAAGGCAGAACCCTCACGTCACCGATCTCTGGAACGCTATTGAGACATCAAAGTAAAAAGGACGTCATGATGAACAAGGAATTATAACTTTAAAATGAAATAGGTCTGTGTCTGCCCTTAAAAATTGCACACGCATTAATGCAATGAATATCAAGTCGTGGTCTGCTTTTCGCTTGCAAGTTTCAGATTTACTGCAATACACCCGTCCTTGGACGGGCAAAAGGCTAGTTCTATCATATTTACGCTTGCCCCCTCAGTACGGGGGTTGAGCAGTGTTATGTCAATTACGCTTGATTGGTGCGCATCTACTCATAGTTACAGGTCGGTTAGGTTCATTTTGTATTCGTTCACTTTCATAAATTTGCCGCTCTTACTCGCGGCAAATGTTTGCACCAAAATGGTGGAACACCCTCGTAGTAGCTCCAAATTTCTTACTTATTATACACGCGTGCATTTCCCCTCTCCCTTGCTTCTTTCGCTAAAGTCACGTACAAAGAAAAAATTATATACAAACTTATTTAGTCTATATAAAAGTTAAAGTGTGCATGTGTAGGTCCATGTGTGCTTGTGAGAACATATATGTGTGTGCATTGTGTCTGTAGGAGTCCATGTGTGTGCGTCAATGTGTGTGACAGTCGCTGTGTTTGTTTGTGTACGTCCATGTGTGTGTGCGGTGTGTAAGTCAATGTGTGTGTTTGTGTAAGTCCATGTGTGTGTGTTAGTCGATATGTGTGCGTTGTTCCATGTGCGTGTGAGTATATGTATGTGTGTGTAAGTCGATGTGTGTGAGTGTGTCTATGTGTGTGTGTAAGTCCATGTGTGTGTGTCTTAGTCCATATGTGTGTGTGTGTGTAGGTCGATGTGTGTGCGAGTCTAAATATTTGTGTGAGTAGCTGTGTGTCTGTGTGTGTGCAAGTCGATGTGTGTGTCTGTGGGAGTCCATGTGTGTGTGTTAGTTGATGTGTGTGTGAGTCGATGTTTGTGTAAGTCCACGTGTGTGAGTCGATGTGTGTGTGTAAGTCGATGTGTGTGTGAGTTGATATGTGCGTTTGTAAGTCGACGTGTGTGTGTCGCTGTGTGTGTGCAAGTTGTGTGGCATAACAACCCCCTACCTTCTCGTGGTGCCGGACGGGCAACATTGTCGTGGACAGTGCCGTGGGGGGAGGGCCAATTCCAATTGGCCGTTCCCCTCAGGGCGTTTGTTGCCACCACAGCGGCTAAATTGGGGCTCAGGACGGGTGCGAGGGGCTGGTAACCCCTCCACCTTCAATAAATTACCACGACTAAAATAACTAATTAAAAAGCTTGCGCCGGAGGCCCCGGGGGACAGGCGTCTTTCACGTCTCCTGGCCAAACCCCATTTGGTGGAGCCAGGAGATTTAATCTTTACCCTCGGGGCTCCTCCAGAAACAACAAAAAGCCACTACGGTTGGCCACGTGGAATGTTCGAATGCTCACTGCGGAAGAGAGGGTGCCACTCCTCTGTCGCGAGCTGGACCGGTACCGCCTGGATCTCTGTGGCATTCAGGAGGTCCGGTGGCCCGGCTATGACTCCTGTCACCATGAGGGGTGGACAGTCCTCTACTCGGGGCAGGAGACTGCCAAACAACAGGGTGTGGCTCTTCTTCTGAACAAAAGCATGGAGGGGGCGTGGGAGCATGGCGGTGAGGTGTGGGAAGCTGTAAGCCACAGGATACTTTGGGCTCGCTTTCCCATCAACCGGATGCGAGGAGTGGTGGTCGTGGTTACTTATGCCCCCATCGAAGACGAACATCCGTGGAGGGATGCAGGCAAGGCCGATGAGTCAGATGCCTTCTATGACCTCCTGTCACAAGTGCTGGCTAAAGTGGCCCCTCGAGTCATCTTGTTGGGTGACTTCAATGCCCGAGTTGGTCATGATGCAGGCACCTGATCTGTAGTGATTGGAAGGCATAACAACGGTTGGAGGCTGCTAGATTTTTGTGCAGCCCATGGGCTCGTAATTACCAACACGCTGTTCCGGCATCGGCGCATCCACACAACATCATGGATGCATGCCGGGTCCAAGCAAGAACATCTGCTGGACTACATAGTGCTGGACCAGCGGATGCGAGCCCATGTCCTTGACACCAGGACCTATCGTGGAGCTGATCTGCCCTATGACCATCGACTTGTCATCTGTAAGATGCGCCTGCCATTCTTCCACTTCGGTGGTGGGTGTACACCCAGGACCCCATTCCAACCTAAAGTGGCCTGGTCTCAGTTATCTGATGAAAGTTGCACGCGAGAATTTCATCAACGTTTGCGGCTGGGGTTGGCATCGTTCCCCACTCCTCCTGATGTCGAGGGTAAATGGGCGAGGTTTAGGACTGTGACTCATGCAGCTGCAATGCCTGCTTTGGGTACATGGTCTAGACCTCCCCAGAGACTCTGGCCTAGACCTCTGACAGAGGAGATGTTCAGGATGGTTGAGAAAAAGCAACAGGCCCACTCTAATCGTCTGCAGCATCCCATGATAGAGAATGAGGCTTCCCGCAGCCTTCGCTCGGAGGTTCGGAGAGCCGTGAGGCGCTGCAAGGATGGGTGGTGGTCGCGGGTTGCTAAGGAGATGGAGTCTGCCTCAATGGCCCGCGATCACAAATCCCTATTTAACTCCATCAAAAAAATAAC